GTTGGTAATGTATATTCTTTCAAAAAAATAAATTAATTAATTAAATTTGGCCTTATGAAATGAGGAGAGGGAAGTTGATAAGCCGTGAAACTCACGGACTTCGAGAAACGGTGCACTCGTGCATCTCCAAAAAAGACAAATAATTAGCAAATAATACTCCTACTTTTTAATTTTAGTTATTCTATGAAATTTTATGTCACCACCTACACTAGCGTATTTTACGTGAGAAAATAAAAACGAAACAGACACAACAAAAGGTTCTTACATTATCTTCACCCACCGCCTCCCAAACATTTACGAAAAATCAATATAAAAATACGCCTAATTTATTTCAATTGTGTACCATTTAATAAATAATTTAATGATTTTAAAAATGGTAAATATATTATCCAAAACAATATATTTTCAAGCGTAGTGCCGGAGTTTACTAAACTTTGCTAAATAGAAAAGTGATATATATTTCTATAACAGGTGATAAATTTGATGTATTCCTAAGCTATAAATAAACAAACAAAACGAAAAGTGAAGAAATCCTCCATCATTGCTAAATCAATTGAAATGAACAGATAGAAATAAATAAATGCAGGGCGATTGTGGAATACTAGCACTATTCCCTCTCTTTTTTCGATAAAAATATTCTTCTCATGCCTCTTCGTAACACTTGTCATAATTATAATTAACTAACAAATAATCTATAGATATCATAGTATCAAGCCATAAAAAATGCATGACCATGAAATCTTATCAACATAATGCTACTTAGAAGTATGCAAATGATTACGATATAAAACCAAATTTTAAAAGTTTAAATATTGAAGACTCGCGAATAATATATTTAGAGAAACTATCGATTATGTAACGAGAAAGAACGAAAACTGACAGTCGTTAAAATAAAATATGGATTATATTAAATAGGTAAAAATAAATAAATAGATTAATAAAGTACATTATCAATTAGTAAAAACAAGGAGATGATGGCATACTTGCGCCCGTGATCCATGGACCCATTTCGAGTTAGGAGAATTTACTAAACAGCCATTGGCATAAAACGTTGGGTAGAAATGAAATAAAGTAAAATGAAGGGTATTGTTGGAAATGTGAGTTGTTGTTGATTAAGTTAGTTACCTGAACGAAAATGCGGTTGGGCTGAGAAACGGTTTTGAGCAAATAATCGGTAGCCCAACGGATTGCCACGAGCGCGTTTCTGTGCTCGTCGGGAGGCATCATGTCTCCGAATTCGATGACACTCCAGGAGAGCATTGTGGTGGTGAATGCCATGGGAAAGCCGAACTTGACGTTGTCGCCGGCGTCGTAGTAGCCGCCGGTGAGGTCGATGTTGTAGGTCCAGCCGTCGCCGAGACCCGAATTGGCGCGCCACTGCATTCTCTGGTCCTGCGGCAGGAATCCGGAGCGTTGGCCCTCGAAGAAGAGGATTGCCTTGGACAATGCCTGCCGGTAATCGTGAGCAGTGACGGAGAGAGAGAGAAGAAGGAGAAGAAGAAACGGAAAAAGGTTGGGAGGTGCCATTGTAGGTTGCGGTGGTTGGTTAACGGTGAGAAGTGGGTGTTATTTATATGCAGAGGTGGTAGAGAGGGAGTCACGGGGTGAAAACTTGAAAGCAAAGTTTGGAGAAAGGAACAGAGTAAGAGAGAGAGAAAGAGCGATTTGGAGGGAAGCGGAAGAGTATGAGTGCGATGAAAGCGCCGACAGTGAAAGTAGAGAGTGTCAGTGAGGTCACATGCAAACAGAAACAGTATCGGAGAGAAGAAGAGAAGAGAGGTGTGGGAGCTTTTATTTCTTGTGGGTCCCATTTTATTTCTTTCTTCTTCTTTCTTAATTCACTTTTATTCTTAAGCAGAATCTCTTCCTCACGGAAGCTGCACCATTATTATAACTAATACTCATTTATAAATTAATTAAATATCCGTATGTATGATTATTTATCATGTAAAAAAATTAAAATTAAAATTAAATTAAATTTATAAATTAAATAATGGATGTCCAATTCGATTTGTTGTTTTTTTTTTCATAATAATCCATTTCAGTTTCTTCTGATTTTTTTAATGTAAGATGGTGTAATAAGATTATAATATCTTTTACATTTATTTGAAATTATTTTTTATTTTATTTTTCTTTAAAAATATAGAAGTTAATTATTGTTAAAATCATTTTATCCTTATGAAAATTAACCAATGATAACCTAATTAGTAGTCAAATGCTATGGTATAATATATTCTCTACACCCATCTTAATTACGATCTTTCTGTTACATTCTCGCACATTTATTTCTTGAAAAGAATAAATGTTATATAACATTAAAAACAAAAGTTCGTGTATACACATTTAATATATATAATTGTAATCCGATACCTATTTATTTTAAACGCAAATTTCTCAATAGCAGAGAGTCATTATCATTGAATGCTTAAACGTTCAAAATTATATACATTTATTGTAATATAAAGACATTTTAATGACCTAATATACAGACAATAAAAGAATTTAACTGTATTTTTAAGTCAGTGTAAATATGGTTTCATATTATTTCACTCACTAAGGAAATATTTATTAATTTAAAGAAATTTATATTTTTAGTCGTCCTTTTTCAATTTTATAACTAACTACTTTTAGTTTAAAATACCAAAATATTAATTATTATAATTAAGGTTAATAAGTAACATTTTCAATTTTAAGAGAATTAAATTATTTAGATACATTATGAAACCCATTGTATTTGAATTTATAAGATACAGTTTAAATTAAATAAACAATAAAAATGTCTCATAAAAAAGTTTATTTAGATTTAATATAATTTATGTTTTTTAATAAATTATATTCTTGTAAGTTTTAAACTCTTTATACTTTCTCAACATTTTGAAGTTGACCACCTATCGTTTTTAAGACAATATTATATAATTGAGAAGACATTCAAAAATAAATCATTTTTTGAATTAATTTTAAAATTGATGTTGCTAGTTCTCTTATAATTGAATCCATGTATGAATTAATTGAGAAATATGAATCATTATATTATTTTAATAAATAGTGATATTGATTTTATAAGTTGGTTCACCAAAGTTTAATATGAATAAGAGAAAAGTAGGTAGAAAATTAATTAAGAAAGAGTTTATTTGAGTGTTGTTTCATACTTGATTGCCACGAAAACAATTGCAACTATTGTAAAAGAAAATAGCTAAAGTAGGTTTGTAAATTTTTGTCAAAAAAATTATACCAAAGTTTGTAATTTTTATTAGAAATATAGTTTGCAGTTGTTTACTAGAAATCTGTTGGGTAACAATTCTTTCTTTTTCTTACTACTTGTGGATGTGTATTGAGATGTCGAATCGTATTAAATTTATTGTGCCATTTTATTTTTACATGTGAGTATGTTTATGGTGAAAGAAATTATTTTTGTATTGTGGGATTTTTACTAATGATATTAGGTTATAATCGAAATTGTTTTTTAGAAAGGTTAGCGTTTAATTTTTTTTTTATGCACACATGCGGTAAAGTTTGTTTACTATATGATATCTGAACGGTATGGGCGTACGGTATCCGACAAACATCAAGGCCGGACGGTCGTGGCAGGTAGGTCTCCGAACATGATTAAGGCAAAACACTAGTTAAGGTTGATTGAGTTGTGCTTTTAAGGCTTTGCTAATCTAAAGCTCACGACCAAAACTATAATTACATGTCAAAGGTAAAAGATAGACAAATTTATTAATTACACATTTATTATCGCGCTTAAATTACCGATCGGACCATTCCTGAGTTTAGCATTGGAGCACTTTTAACATGTACCCTCCCATGCGGACAGAACGGACGAAATTGGGACAACGGATAAAAGAATCAAATAGAAACTAGACGGAAACAATAGAAAATGTGCAAGATTAGGTAACTCGACCCTATAGAGGATCAATTTAGTTTAATTTGGAAGATATTTATGTTGGATTCCACGTAAATTATTGATGAGTTGTTAATGCAAAAATTGTTGATATAGAGTTTGAAATGAATGACAGTAATGACTGACAACATAGATGACACATAAATGAGTTTTTGCATACAGTGTTGGCAATTTATCATGTTTGTTTTAGATTACTAACATTGTGGCTTTATTGTGGAGTTGTTGTTTTTTCTTCTGTATGTGAAATTTTTGACAAAGAGATAATATATTAGTTCTCATGTGAGTATTCACGAAAGTCTCACGTTCAATAATATAAAGAAGAGAAAAATGTGAAATTATTATAAATGTCAAAAGTCTATACCACAATTCAACAGTTTTATTACGTAGTTATGTCATGATAATAAAAAATTACATCTTGAATAATAATATTTTTTATTGGATATTAATGAATATAAACTTTGAGGTGTCAAACTACTTCTAAGTTATTTTATATTTTTATCTATGCTATTACATTTAGCTGTGTTTTCCAAAGTTATAAGTTGGAAAATTGTAAGTGTCATAAATGTTTTTCCTTACAATATAAAATACCTCCAAGAGAAATGAATAACACTCACACATATTAAGGAATTTTGATTCATGTGTTTTAATTTTATTAAACTATCTGACTATGTAACACATTCAAACTTTTAATTATAAATTTTTTATTTTAAATATTTTTGTTCTTATATGATCGAGATATTCTTACAATCACACGTGTCCACTTGTGATATTCACACTTCAAATTAATGTATTTTCGGTATTTCTTTATTGTTATGTTTTTTTTCGTTTGATAGGAAGTATTTTTTACTAAAGAATATGTAAAGATACTCCAACTTTTAAATTGTTATATATGAAAATACAATAATAAATTATATTATTAACATATGTGGTAAACAATGACTATTTATATTAACCTTTATAACCATAAAATCTGTATTTCTGCTTTTAAAATTTTTTCACATAATTAATTATCTTTAATTTTTTTATGACGAATAATAACTATTTATAATACATACACGCATCTTTATCTTTATAAACCTAGATCTAAAAATTTGTTCTGATTTTAAGATTTTCACATAATTAATTATCTTTAATCCNAAATATTGAAGACTCGCGAATAATATATTTAGAGAAACTATCGATTATGTAACGAGAAAGAACGAAAACTGACAGTCGTTAAAATAAAATATGGATTATATTAAATAGGTAAAAATAAATAAATAGATTAATAAAGTACATTATCAATTAGTAAAAACAAGGAGATGATGGCATACTTGCGCCCGTGATCCATGGACCCATTTCGAGTTAGGAGAATTTACTAAACAGCCATTGGCATAAAACGTTGGGTAGAAATGAAATAAAGTAAAATGAAGGGTATTGTTGGAAATGTGAGTTGTTGTTGATTAAGTTAGTTACCTGAACGAAAATGCGGTTGGGCTGAGAAACGGTTTTGAGCAAATAATCGGTAGCCCAACGGATTGCCACGAGCGCGTTTCTGTGCTCGTCGGGAGGCATCATGTCTCCGAATTCGATGACACTCCAGGAGAGCATTGTGGTGGTGAATGCCATGGGAAAGCCGAACTTGACGTTGTCGCCGGCGTCGTAGTAGCCGCCGGTGAGGTCGATGTTGTAGGTCCAGCCGTCGCCGAGACCCGAATTGGCGCGCCACTGCATTCTCTGGTCCTGCGGCAGGAATCCGGAGCGTTGGCCCTCGAAGAAGAGGATTGCCTTGGACAATGCCTGCCGGTAATCGTGAGCAGTGACGGAGAGAGAGAGAAGAAGGAGAAGAAGAAACGGAAAAAGGTTGGGAGGTGCCATTGTAGGTTGCGGTGGTTGGTTAACGGTGAGAAGTGGGTGTTATTTATATGCAGAGGTGGTAGAGAGGGAGTCACGGGGTGAAAACTTGAAAGCAAAGTTTGGAGAAAGGAACAGAGTAAGAGAGAGAGAAAGAGCGATTTGGAGGGAAGCGGAAGAGTATGAGTGCGATGAAAGCGCCGACAGTGAAAGTAGAGAGTGTCAGTGAGGTCACATGCAAACAGAAACAGTATCGGAGAGAAGAAGAGAAGAGAGGTGTGGGAGCTTTTATTTCTTGTGGGTCCCATTTTATTTCTTTCTTCTTCTTTCTTAATTCACTTTTATTCTTAAGCAGAATCTCTTCCTCACGGAAGCTGCACCATTATTATAACTAATACTCATTTATAAATTAATTAAATATCCGTATGTATGATTATTTATCATGTAAAAAAATTAAAATTAAAATTAAATTAAATTTATATTATATTTTCTATTTTTCTAATTTTATTTTAAAAATTTATAAAGTATTTTTTTAAAACATTGACTATATTATTTATACGTGTGAGTTTTAAAATTATTTATAAATATTTTTAATCGGTAAACAATAAAATTAATAAATAATTTTTGTTCTAAATTAAATAATGGATGTCCAATTCGATTTGTTGTTTTTTTTTTCATAATAATCCATTTCAGTTTCTTCTGATTTTTTTAATGTAAGATGGTGTAATAAGATTATAATATCTTTTACATTTATTTGAAATTATTTTTTATTTTATTTTTCTTTAAAAATATAGAAGTTAATTATTGTTAAAATCATTTTATCCTTATGAAAATTAACCAATGATAACCTAATTAGTAGTCAAATGCTATGGTATAATATATTCTCTACACCCATCTTAATTACGATCTTTCTGTTACATTCTCGCACATTTATTTCTTGAAAAGAATAAATGTTATATAACATTAAAAACAAAAGTTCGTGTATACACATTTAATATATATAATTGTAATCCGATACCTAT